ATAATTACTGCATATATGTGATAAACCAAAAATGTATCTAACGAGAACCGCAACCACCAAATTAAAAGTACCTTTTGTTTTTTTTTTTTAAGAACACACACAAAATATAACATAATATTTCAAAAATAGTTTGTGACCCCAAAAAAAAAAATTTTTAAAAGAGTTTGGAAGTTAAGGAAAATTTCCCAAGTTCCTTTAAAAACGGAAAGAAATTTATTTATAATATTTTGGATATTCATCTTTAACTAAACTTTGGGTAAAATTAAGCTGCATACAAAATACAAGCACACATAAACCCTAGATCACACCTCCAAGAATCATATTGAACACAATGACGACGAAAAAGATGAAGAAATCATCAGACTCGTCTCCCTCGACAACTCTTCCTCCTCCTCCGATATTGTTTTCGTCGTTACCAAAAGACCTCACTCTTAATATTCTTTCTCGAATTTCGAGAATGCATCATCCAATCTTATCTCCACGAAATCTAGTTTTCAGAGGTGAAATCGCATATGTCGATTTCCGCATGGATTCTTCTTCATCTGTACTTCCTTCCCCTGTGAAAACGTTTTGAGTCTTTGCGAAATAATCAACAATTTACCTTGAGAATTTATCAAATTGTAGATTTGTTATTCTTTGAGAGGAAACCCTATAACCCAAAAATATCACTATTCAAACTCCATTTTACAGTTAAACGAAGCATAATCAACCCTAAAATCGAACATATCTACAAGATTAACTTACCTTGAAGGCAGTCATCAGCCTCCTTACGAAGAAAGTATGACCGTAGAGTCCAAATCTGAGACTGTCCATGGTTTTTCTGCTTCAAATCGACAGCTAACTTCATGTAAACGTTAATCAAGAGTGAGGTGGATCGAAAGTGAAAAAGGGAGAAAGGGAGAGCAAAAGCGACGACGAATCCAAATTCGATTGAGATCCAGAATTTTAAATTCACGTTTACATATTAGGAACATATTTACGTTTTATTTTAAATAGAATATTTTATCTAGAATAACCTATTTTTTAAAAAAAATTATTAGGATAATCTCTTAAATCTTTTATTGTCTAAATAACCTATTTTACGTTTTTTTCTTTCATAATACCTAAACTATCCCTATAAACTAATAACTATTAGAAATAGATTTAATTTTTCTTTAAAACATTTCAAATAAGAAAATAGACACAAATTTTAAAAACCATTATCAACAAAATACAAAACGTTCTAGAAGTTTGTCAATATTTTCGCAGATTATGAATTTTTTGTCGTAAATTCTACATTTTTTTGGCAGAGACTGCCAATGCCTCGTTATAGTCTGTCAATGTTTTGGCAGAGTCTGCGTTTTTAGTAGAGTCTGCTAATATCTCGGTAAAGTCTGTGTTTTTTTGCAGTGTCTGTCAATATCTCGGCAGAGTCTACTAATGTCTCGGCAGACTCTATGTTTTTCTAGATACTGGCAGACTCTACTAATATCTCGGCAAACTCTGTGTTTTTCTAGATACTGGCAGACTCTGTTAATATCTCGGCAGAATCTACCAATGTTTTGGCAGACTCTACCAATATCTCGACAGAGTCTACCAATATCTCGACAAAATCTACCAATGTTTTGGGAGAATCTACGTATTTCTAGATATTGGCAGAGTACATGGGTAGAGTCTACCAATGTTTCGGCAGAATCTGCCAATATCTTAGCAGAGTGTGCCAATATCTCGGCAGAGTCTGCCAATATTTCGGCAGAGTATGTTAATACCTCGGCAGTGTCTGTCAATACCTCGGCAGAGTCTACCAATATTTCGGCAGAGTCTGCGCTCTAGTAGACGCTTTAAAATTCTTCTAAAATGTTGGTAGACTTATATCTCCGTCTGCTAGTCTACCAATATTTTAACAAAGTCTACCAATGTCTTGGTAAAGTTTACCAATATTTCGGTAGAGTCTGCCAATATTTCGGTAGAATTTGCGAAGGACAATTTTAGTATTATGAAATAAATAAAATCTAGAATAGGTTATTTTAGCAATACAAAAAAATAGTAAAGTTATTCTAGCTATTTAAAAAAAAAAAAATAGGTTCTAGCTTACAAAATAACTCTTAAAGAAATCGTGTTTAGGAATTTAAGATGGGCCTAAACAAAGTCCTCGCTTTTTCATAAATAAGTGAACAGAAACCCTAACGTAAGTAATCCTCAAATAAACCAAAATCATCCAAGATGCTTGAGAACATGGGAGAAGAGATGAAGAAATCATCAGAATCTCCTCCTCCGACGTCGTTTCCATCGTTACCAAACGATCTCGCTCTCAACATTCTGGCTCGTATCTCGTTAATCCATCGTCCAACCTTATCCCTCGTCTCCAAGAGTTTCCGATCTCTCCTCGCTTCGCGTGAGCTCTACGCTACACGAACCCTAATCGAAAAAACAGAGAGTTACATCTACGTTTGCTTAAATTCGAATAAAAAAAACCATAATCCTCGATGGTTCACACTTGCACCAGTCCCCCAACGACAGAGATTGATACCAATCCCTATACCTAATTCGTTTCCAAATCAATATCCAGAATCGTCATCAACCGTTGTTTCGATCGATTCGGAGATTTACGTAATCGGAGGATTCTTAAAGGGAAAGAGAAGCAGAAGAGTGTTAGTTCTTGATTGTCAATCTCATCAATGGATTAGACTCCCTAAAATGCGTGTACCTCGAGAAAAAGCAGCCGCTAATGTAATTGATGGTAAGATCTTTGTGATTGGAGGTTGCAGGTCCAACAAAAGCAAGGATTGGGGAGAAGTTTATGACATAAAGACGCAAACTTGGGAGCCTTTATCGCCCGAAACACCAGATCTCACCGCACAGAAGAGTGTGGTTCCAGGTAGATTGGTAATGGGTGGAAAAGTTTATGTCATGAATGGTTTGAAACTAAACTTCAGGGAGAGTGTTTGTTTGGTAGGCATCGACAAGAACGTGTTGTGTCAAATATTCGTTCGTAATGGGAAATTACTTTGGCGTGATGCAAATGAAGAAGTGGAGTGTTGGACTAAGGTTTGGGGACTTGAAGAACTGTCATCTAATTATCTTGTTTCGGTTGTAAACTTATGTGGAGGAGGACGAGTGATGGTTTGGTGGAAGAAGCATTTGAAGATTTGGTGTGCAGAGATTTCGTTTGAGAGAAGGGGTTTCGAAGAGCTTTTGGGATTTGTTGAATGCTCTAAAAGTGTGTTTACATTTGAAGGATGGGATTCTGGTTTTGATTTCTTTATGCATTCTGCTATTGTCACACACTGATATCATATTGGATTTTTATTTGTTTTGGATAGAATTTTAGATTTTGTTTTCTATAACATTTTTAGTCTCTTATTCATGAAAAAAACATTCATGCAGTTACAAACTTTAGAACCACAAAATGATATTTTTACCATGTTTAGCTATCTTGTATTACAATTTTCTTTCCTTTACTATGAATCTGAAACACACAATGCTGGACTCGCCTATACTCTATTATGTAACAGATTTCGTATCGCCAATATGTTGGTTTGACGATTTTAATTGAATCCAAAAACTTGTTCGCATCACTTCCACATTTCCGAGGCTAATCTTTTACCTTTCAAACCACTCAGAAAGGGAGAGACAAAAAAAAGGTAAAGAGTTCAAAAACTTAATCGGAAATACAGAGAATTGCATTGCATCTACCTCTGCTTAAACCTTCCTCATCGAAACAATAGCTTAAACACTAATTCTCGCTGGTTCAAACTTCACTCAACTCCCAAACATAAATTGTTTTAACAGTCCCTTCATTTCCTTATCAATATCCCAAATCACCAACTGTTATCCCAATCCGCTCAGAGATTTATATAGTCGGCGGTTTTATCAACGGCGTGAGAAGCAAGGAAGTGTTTCTCCTCGATTGTCGATCTCATTAATGGCATAAACTCCAAGAAATGCATGTACCTCAAGGAAATTCAGCCGCGGAGGTATTTGAAGGGAAGATTTATGTAGTTGGAGGTTCCGAATCCATTATGGTGAGGATTGGGGAGAGATTTATGATCCAAACTGTAGAACATTTGCTAACTTTTTGGTTGGTACATTACATTAGCCTGCAAATTCCACACCATCCTATGACTTGAGCTAAGGAGACTATGAAGACTTTGCATTGCTCGTAAATTCAGAGACTTTCTGAAATGTGAATCTACAAAGTACTCAATTGATTCTTCTCAGCTTGAGTCTGAAACATGATCTAATGGAAATTGATCCACCACCTAATCGATAGAGAGAGCAACAACCTGTCTTATCTCTTCTGAAGTTAACGCGCACGATATACATCTTTCATCTTGGCTTTGAACCGGTTTCTGAGTAGCTAGAGGTGCGTATCTTGTTCTTATAGAGACGCTGCTGCGCCTGCCCGGTCGTTGAATGCGATGTGGATAACCAAGTTGAGAGACTAGCATCAACAGCCATTTCTTGAATTCTCTGTTTCTTGATTTATAGGTTCAATGATGATGACTCATCAATCCGAGGCTTCAAGCTAACGTGTCTGTGATCTCACGCCAGCTTCCAATACACTTTCCTCATTCCTCAAAACCCTTTTCCTATCCAATAAATGAAATTGATTCAGACAGGAGATTCAAACCTTTTTTCAACACCAAACCAGCATCAAAGTCTTAATCTCTTATGACATGTTAAAAGATTGACCAAAACCCAAAAAGGAAATGAACCCAATAGAGAGATATTGCAGCATCAAGAACCAATGCACAAACCGGGAAACAAAAGAGAGGGCTTTTTACTGCTTTTGTATGACTGAACAAAAATACCTTCTTTAGTCCGACGACGAAGATCAGAGCTGCAACTGCAACAAGAACAAAAAGTGAAATTTCTAGGGTTTGAGAATCGATTTGGGGGAAAAAGAGCAAAAAAAAAATTTGGACCATTTCTCGATTTGTGCGTGTCATCCTTGCGCAGGGGCCATGCTAATCTTCTCTGTATCGTTCCAATTTTATCGGATGTCCCCAAAGGGACTATCTCATCTTCGACTCCATTGATATATAAACTCAGCTTCTTCTCTTCACCTAAGCGATGTGGGACTGTTGATATCGTTTTAACTACTTACTCGGCTAAATAAAAGGCCTCTCTCGCTGATTCTTCGTGGGCCTATTAACATATATACTAAAAAGGCCCATTTCTTTGCAGACAAAAAATTAATGTGAGGGCTTTGACAATTTCTTTTGCAAAATCAATTATCATGTTCTTCTGACTTTTTTTGGGTCTAAATGTTAAGATGTTCTTCTGACTTGTATGTTTGAGTGTAGATACTTTTCGAAGCCAATCTAGAGTTTCCAAGAATATATCTTGCGTGACTTAACTATTTATTTTGCACAAAAAAAAACAATTATCATGTGTATTAATAAAAAATAAGGTCTTGATTACAAAGTGCCTAGGGTCTCTCTCTTTATATAGCTTGAACCCATAAAACTAGATTTGGGAAAGACTTGGAGAATGAGAAAAATGCAGAAAAGTAAAACTTATGCAACAAGGAAAAACACCCAAAAGCCTTATAGGGAAAAAGATAGATGTGTCATGTGTATGCTGCATCACTATGCCACGGTATCGGCTGATTGGCTACGTTTGGGGAAATATCTAAAGCAAATGATTTTGACCCTCACTATTTTACTTGGACAATATTACTCTGTCTAGGTCACCAACACACACCAGATCTAAGCATTCGAAAGTGTATGGACTCAATATTTTACTTGCTAGTGAAAGAGAACATATTTCACAAAACAGAGACGTTAAGAAACTTTATTTTGTGTTTATTGCATCACAAACTTGGTGAGTTGATTTCGGGGTCTTTTGGGATTTATTTAAATAAAGTTGGGTTTACAAATTTGGAAGAAAAAAAAAACAGTAGTGTAAAGAACGTGACTTTCATTGGAGCTGTTTTGTAAATTTCCCTTAAATATTAAATATCTAGGGTGAAACCCCAAAATCCTACGAAGCTATGAACACAGTGACGATCGTAGCGACGAGGAGGTCATCGAAGTCTTCTCCTCCGACATCGTTTTCGTCGTTACCATATGACATCTCTCTCAATGTTTTGGCTCGTATCTCAAGAATCCATCGTCCAACCTTAACCCTCGTCTCCAAGAGTTTTCGATCACTCCTAGCTTCCCGTGACCTCCAAGCCACACGAACCCTAATCGAAAAAACCGAGAACTACATCTATCTCTGTTTAAAGTTTCGGAAAAAATCTAAACCTTGCTGGTTCATACTTGCACCAACTCAAAAACAACACAAAATTGATACCAATTCCTTCGTTTCCTTACAAATATCCAGAATCCCCAACAGTCGTCTCAGTTGATTCAGATATTTACATAATTGGTGGGTAGGTAAATGGAAAGAGAAGCAAAAGAGTGTTTCTCCTTGATTGTGGATCTCATCAGTGGCGTGTACTCCCCGAAATGCAAATACCTCGAGGAATATCAGCCGCTGACTTGATTGATGGGAAAATTTACGTGCTTGGAGGTTGCGGTGTTGGCAAGAATTGGGGTGAGATTTATGATCCAAAGACACAAACTTGGGAGCTATTATCTCCCACCACACTCACACCACATATTAGCATCCAAAAGAGTTTGG